ACTTCCTGAGAGCACAGCTCTGCTCCCAGTGGCGTCACACGCATTTCCAACAACCAACAGGGGAGCTCGCCCCGCACCGTGCCCCCTGGCCAACTCACCTCCCACCTCTCCAGTCCTCTGACGCCCCGCTTGTCAGCTCCTCGGAGGCCGCTCTGGCCCCGAGCCCGCTTGCTCTCCCCGCGTCATAAGGCCTCACGGAGCCTGGTCCCCCTCGCAATCCGCGGCACGCCTAGGACTGAGCAGTGAGTCGTGCGGTTGTGTTTTTGTCACCAGATCCTGCTCTCTGAGAGCAGAGGCTCCGCAGTGCCCCGTATCCCGACGCCCAGCAGAGTCCAGCGCGGCGTGAATGCTCGGGGCTCGTGCGGGGAGTGAAGTAACCGGTGCGTCAGTGGAAGGGCCCCCGCCACGTCCGACCCCAGCCCGGGCCACGTGGGCACGGGCTGTCCTGCTGAAAGCCGGTCCGGCTCCCCAAACGGGCATAAAAAGCAAAAACCCGACGAACCTTAGCTAAGCGTCTGAACCACACGGATTGCTTGAGCGCCAAAGAGGTTCCATGAGAAGTCAGTCACAAAACGTAACTAACAAAACTGCCTGGAAAGTTAAAAGCACGTTTATAAATAACTTAAGGCCGAAAGGAGGAATCCCAACAGAGGTTCAATAGACACTAGATAAAAGGAGAACTGAGCGATACTAAACATGCTCAGGACCTGTGAGGTGAGAGACAAGAAGGCGCAGAGGGCGACAGGGTTGCCAGCGCCGCGTTGCGTAAACGGCAGGGTGAGGAAACAGGCCGCGTCGGGGAAAGCAGGGGGCTCCAGACGCTGGGAAAGGGGGGACAGCGGAACCCCAGAGAAGGAAACCACGACGTCAAGGGCAAAACCAACCAAGCGCTGACGGCTTCTCACCACTAAGGGCATCCATCAGGTGAATCGTTGGCTCACCGAGAGCGGGTCAGAAAGTGCGGGTGCTTTCAAACGAACTGGGAAATGGGACCCGGGAATCTAGGTCCGGGCAAAGTGGGGGCCGAGGGAGAGGCGGTGGGTGAGCTGGCTGCCCGGAGACCCTGGGAGAAGCGCTTCCCACCTTCGGGCCTCGGGTCTCCCATCTGTAGAACGGGAGAGTGGGGCTCAGGGACCTCCAGGGTCTCTCCCAACCCCGGCTGTCTGGGGTCTCGGGTTCCAGTCCGGCATCCGGACAGGGAGGGAATTATGGTTCCTCAGGGCAGCTCGGACTACAGACCTCTCTTCAGATCTGATGGCGCCCCCCTCCCGCCCTCATCTCCTTGCCCCCCAGCACCCTGGCTTGCTGGTCCCTACCACCTAGGACACTTCCCCTCCTCTTCCCCTGGCTGGGGCCCTCATTGTCTTTCAAAAGGCCTTCCTGCCCCCAGACGGAGTTAGAGTTCCCCAGGCCTCAGTCTTATTAAATTGTGATTAAACAATCAATCGCACGTAGGGTGTGTTCAGTGGCTGCCTCCCAGGCCGTCTTGGGGGTCCATGTGGACAAGCGCCCTGGCCTGTCTTACTCGCCAGTGTATCCCTGGTGCTGGAGGCGTATCTGGACAATGCTGTTTAGATGTTCCCCATTCACACAGGTTGGACCAGCGCCTTGGCCAACCTGGGTATGGCCGCCCCGTCCCACCCACCCA